CCCCTAGCAACCACCTACCACCCACCCAAACACACTAGCCTAGACACCACCTAACAACACCTTTGTAACGAGCTAGAATGCCCTAGCAACCACCTAACAACCACTCAAACACACTAGCCTAGACACCACCTAACAACACCTTAGTTACCACCTAGAATGCCCTAACAACCACCCATAACACGCTAACCTAGACACCACCTAACAACACCTTTGTAACCAGCTAGAATGCCCCAGCAACCACCTCACAACCACTCAAACACACTAGCCTAGACACCACCTAACAACACCTTTGTAACCACCCAGAACACACTAGGGCTGTCAAAAAAAATTAGAATTTCGAATATTCGTCGAATTTAAAATAAAAATCCACATTCAAAAGCAAAAACGTTGCATTCGAATTTTAGGTGTGCATCAGGCAGCCTTATCAGTGGAGCAAGAAATGCGACGACGATGTAGGTGTCATTGCATTTGAATGCTTTTGTTAGCCTATCCAGTTGAACCCACTAGATGCCGCGCTGCTACGTTGTTCATACAAAATATTGCGGAAAAAGAGAACATCAATGCGGAGATAATGTTGTTTACGTCAAAACCGAAACCAAGCCGTTCACACAGAACGCTGTATATGGTTTATAAATATTATTTTAAACATTATGCACTTTTTTCAAAGATAGTCGTGTTATTTTATTATGCTTTGAAGAAACGTGCATAATATTTTGTTCGATGCGCCCTCTTGTGGCCTCAGGAGAGAAGCCAAAAGCTTTTTTTTCCCCCTAACTGAAATTATGCCTTTTAAATTCGAATATAATTTGAATATTGATAATATTTAAGTACAAAATTTGAATTTAGTTTTTCAGCCATTTTGACAGCCCTAGAACACACTAGCCTAGAAACCACCTACCAACACATAAGTAACCACCCAGAATGCCCTAGCAACCACCTAACAACCACCCAGAACACACAAGCCTAGAAAACACCTTAGTAACCAGCTAGAATGCCCTAGCAACCACCTAACAACCACCCAGAACACACTAGCCTAGAAACCACCTACCAACACCTTAGTAACCACCTAGAATGCCCTAGCAACCACCTAACAACCACCCAGAACACACTAGCCTAGAAACCACCTACCAACACCTTAGTAACCACCTAGAATGCCCTAGCAACCACCTAACAACCACCCAGAACACACTAGAGACACCGAACAACACCTTGTGTGATGGCAAGTTTGCCCGGTCAAGTCGTAATGGTCCCGTGTAGCAGCAGCTCAGCCTCAGAGACTGAGGTCAGTTTTGCAATCTGTGCATTTCCCTCCAGCGGCTGATAGAGTACAGCGATGTGAAGCATCACACGCACTTACTGCCCGAGTCAACACTGTCAGGCCCTTGATCTCGACGCAGCATCTTTAATGCTCTCGTTTTAAAGCGCAGCGCTTCTTTGTTCACAGTGGCAATAAAGCAAATACAGTGTCAGAATCATTAGGAGAGCGCTGTGGATGGACGCTTTGATTTTTTGCAGCCTGTTGCTTCGAACTTAACTGCTCGGAAAATGCATGAAAGGACCCGGTTCCCATCACAGGAATTCAGGCAGCGCTTCACACCCTTTGAAGGACCCGGCTCGGGTGTGAGAGTGGATCTATCCGCTGGCATTATTTCCCCAAGAGTAGCTCCGCTCACTGTTGACACGTTTGTTTCTCGTGCATCTCCAGACACAAAAGCGGGCCCTGGGAAAGGAATGTCTTGGTGCTGAGGTAAAGACAACTGTCTCCGCTCGTTCCCATCGGCCGGCCCGCCACTCTTGGGATTTCTGGCTTCTTTCGCATCAGTAGCAATCCAAACGGCAGTCAGGCGTGGCCTGGCCGTAATCTCAAGTTGTTTTAGCAGATGCTGCAGCTTCCTCTTCCCACAGTTTGATGCAGCAGAGCCGGGCTCTGGGATAATGGGGGTCTACAGCCAGGCAGCTACAGGTGCTGGTTTATGCTAGATTACCAGCTAAAATCCATCATAATGTGATGCTGGTTGAGAAGCCTTGTTGGGATCACCAACACACCAGCATGCCATGCTGCAGATCAGCATTCCTGACTTTTGCATGTTCATTTAAGCAACCAGGTCCAGTGCGAGTTAATCTCAATTGACAGCATTTATGGTTAATGTTGATTACTACACTGAATTAATTTTGGCTCATGCATACTTTTTTTAAAAAGCAAAAATCTATTTACAGTGAGGTACTAACAATTAAAGTAAAAGAGGCAAATATGTAAACATCAATATCCAGCTTATTTTTCCTGTAACAACCATTTGTAAATTGTATGGGCCTGGCTTCCGGTGTCATCCGCTTCAAGCTATATTGACCTGTACAGCTTGTTTTGCTGCTTTATATTGCAAACTGGTTTGTCTTGCCATATTATTGTAATGTATTATCTTAATTATGAACACACTGGTTTGTTGTGCAACCGTTTACTGTGCGTTGTTATTCTCCTCATTATTTCCCTACAGCGGCTAACGAACCAGAAGTCTCGCACATCCACAGAAAACGGCAATAGTATAGCCACAAAATGCACAAAGTATATATTGTTTTAGTGTGAAAAAAATAATTTACTAACCATTTCTGTAAAGTTATATCCAGTTTTACTACTATATGACTACTTAATGCCTGTAAACCCTGAAATAACCATGAAAATGATGATTTGAACAGCTTTAAGCGCAGGTTTCAACAGAATAATTAATTTTAAAATAATTAATGTGTGCTTGTTTTAAACTTAAACTCAGTTACTTGTAACCTCAGTTTTTGCTTTTTTTTAAAGAAATAATCAACATTATATCACAGAATATTCCATTAATTCAGGCTAATTTGATCACGCCAAGACTTGTAATTCTCTCAGATGTTTAACACATCTAACATCCATTCCACAGAAAGTCAAGGCAGTATATGCAGATTTTGACTGGGCCTGCCTACTTAGTTCTAGCAAACATGAATTATTATATTATATATATATATGACATTAACTATTGGCTCTGCTATATGGCGACTCATGTAGAGGTGTAAGTACCTGGAAGTCGTTGGCTTTGTTGTAGTGCATGTTGAGTGCGCGGAAGAGCTCGGACTCTCTGGTGACGGATACGTCTTTCACATCGTTAACGCCGTCTATGATGGCCTGACGAGCGAACTTCTCCATCTGGATGTAGAAGAACTCTCTGAAGTTACTGAACCACTTGATCAGCTGCGACGTGATGCAGCGATTGAACTGAAAACAGGGAAATATGAGAAAATGCACGAGTCAGATGAATGTTGATGTTAAAGAACAACAAAAACACCATCCATATGTTGATTCATACAGTCAAACCAAAAATTGTTCAGACAGCAGATATAATTGTTGATATTGTTTTTACTAGTGCGTGCAGGACACTATAGTTCATTTATGTAATTGAGATAGCAAAATAAAGTAAACTGTGACATATTAATCACAAAAAGTCTTCATACAGTGGACTGCCAGTAAAATTTCTACTAATTTCTAAACTATAGCGAATAAACTGTGATATAATGTGAGAAAGGTGTCTGAATAAATTTTAGTTTGACTGTGGGTTGAAGCTCATAACTGAGTAATTAATCCTTGGTGCAGAAATAATGCAGAACACCAACAACAACCTAGTGGTGCTAAAAAAGTAAACGTTTAGATTTTTCTTGTTCTTATTCTGGCAATGACGGTGCAAAGCATTTGCTTTCTAGACTATTTTCAGCAACACATGTCTGTTTAATCAGCTGTAGTCTTTCCCAGCTGATGTCTTGCACTTAGAATCACATCTATCCAAACAGCAGACGAGACTCTGTCGTCACATTAGCCCTGTTATTATAACTGCTCATCCGATAACACAGGGGGAAAGAGCTAAAACCTGCCCAAGGGCTCGAAGACGCTTCTTCACGCGGAGTGTGAGAAACAGCAGCGCGCGAGACGTCCTTCTGAGTGACTTCGGCTGACGGGAATGGAATCGGACACTGGGATTATCCCAGGCTTTGTCTGCTGTGACTTCCCACCGAAGGGTCGGCCCGTGACTCTCCTCACAGATCTCAGGGGCCACACAGGAGACCAGTGTCCACAGACCGCCTCGTGTGTCTTCTCCAGTCATCTTGATTTGCTGGGAGATTTTTCTCTGCTTTATTTGTGTATCATTTGCTTCCTTAAATGTCATGGATTTGTATCATACTATACTTTTATGCTACACTGTTGTGCACTAGGGACATACAGTGGTGGCCAAAATGCTAAAGAATGGTTTTAAGTCACTTATTTCTATCTTTTGCTGTAGTGTGTCAGTAGGAAATATCAGTTTGCATTTCCAAACATTCATTTAGCAATTAATTGTAATAATGCAGTGAGATATATGTTAGTGCTGCACACAGAGATCTGATCTGATCATCATCCGTCTGTCTGGAGTCACATGAAGAAACAGAACAAACTGAGACAGACTCGGTAAAAACAGAATTTACAGTATAATGCAGGATTTCATTGAATTTGGCAAAAAAAATACACTTAGTCAAATGATGATATAGTGTCATTTGTGAATATTGAACTGCTGTGTAAATGTGAATCTGCATGTTGTGCGTGTCTCAGTTTGCTCTACTGCACATATTAAAGCACATGTGATACTCGTCTGCGTCTCACTATATGAACACATTAACTTCATCATCATCATCACGTCACTAGCACTTCATCATTTCATTTGAGAAAACTATTGTCAGATACACACAGAAACTCTTCACGGCAAACCGCCAAAATAAATGTTCGGTTCGGTTCTCAAAGTACACTTTGATTTTTCAAAGTTGTAAATAAAATATTATCGAGGTATGTTTAACAAGAAAATGCTGTTTCAGTCTTCAAAAATTAATGTTTAATTTGTTTAATGTGCTATTTGCCATTTCTGAGTTAACATTCAGTGTTAACATTCATTTTTTCAGTGTAATAATAATAATAATAAAATTATTAAAGGTTTATTTTAAGGAATATCACACTTTCTCTTCCACATTTTAATTTTAATAGTAAAATATTTAAGAATTTTAATTTGACTGCATTTTTAATCACCAATTTTTATACCACTAATAATAATAATAATTTTACAAAAAGCGTTGTAGGGCCCTATAATCATGAAAATGTTAATAAATTATTAATTTGTTAAAGTTTTATAAATTCAATTAATTAGACATACTTTTTGAGTATTAAAATTAAATTAAATGTTAATTCATTTACGCAGTGATTCATTGACATTTTACAGATTTTAACTGCATTTTAATTAATTACATATAAAAGTCTAGTAGTTTTTACTGTGCTTCATGTACACTTAAAAAAGACAGTTTTCTAGAAAAAAAGGCTTCACCAGTAATTCGCGTTCAGACTTACAAGTTTTCTCAAGCTCAGTAATTCAGTCACAACCACACGTTGAGTTTCCTCTCACCAAATTATCGCTATGATGTGGTTTAGTGATATTTACTGTCTAACCTAATTTACTAGTAACTTAGGTCACTTTCAAAAATGAAAACTTTTACAAATGTAAGCTTCTTCAATTATGTGCAATGTATTGCAAGACACACAGAAACTAAGTGAACCATAATGCTATATAATATATAATGTAGCGCTTAAGGTTTTGGCTTAGGGTTAGTAATTATAAAAAATTAATGGTACTTAGCAAGTGCATATTTAAGATAAGTGACCCTGGAGCACAAACACTAGTACTTGAAAGTTAATGTAATACAAAAAAAAAAAAAAAAAGATTAAACTTTTTTGTTGTTGTTGTTGTTTTAAGCACAGTGTTTCCTGACACTGGGCCTTAAACTGACTCTACATATTCAGCAGGGACTCATGAAATAACACGCAAGCGCTCAGTTGCACCAGAGTTTTGCTGTTGTGTCGACTCATCACAACACTTGTGCCTCAGGACTGGTTACACACTCACAGGATGCGCGTGTTGTTGTAGGGCCTCAGTATCCGCGGCTCAGCGCTCTGCTATTGTGTGTGCTGAAAGCTGGCGAGCTGAAGGGTTAACGCTGAATAGAGGAGGTTGTGCTCCTCTCCGCCGCCTCTTTTGTCTCCTTTTGCTGACTTGAGAAACTCCTCTTTTAACTTTGTCAAAGTTAAACCAGCAATTCAGGAATTGCCACCCCAACATTCAGGAATATTTGCTCAAGCGTCTAATTTTGTGTTAATATTCTATTTAGTTTTTTTGCCAAAGCAACAGAATGCATATTTCTAATTCACACGTAACAAATCCATTACAATTCAAAGTGATTTCCAAAGCAATACTCTTATTAACGCGTAACTTATCAATAGGGTAAATATTATAATATTATTTATTATTCTTAAATAACATTAATCATATTTAATTATTTATTATTATTATTTACAAATATTATTTATCCAAATAATCAGGTAGACATTGATGTGACTCCTGATTGTAACTGTTTATTAGAAATAAAAAAAAAATAA